GCTGGAGCCATGGATGGGCTCCAAGTTGGGGGGGTGATGTGGTCAGGTTCACTGCTTAAGAGTACGGTCACCAGGAAGGAAGGAGTGTGCAACACGCATCTGGGGTTAAGGGCACCCGAGGGCCGCGGTCGCATCGGGAGTTTAGAATCAGAGTATCGGTGCAGCATGGCTGACGTCTGAAGCACTTTCCCACTGTGGTCTCACCTTCCAAAGCCAGGCTGGTAAGGAGGAGGCCTCTGTGCTCTTCATGGCAAGGGGGAAAGGAGAGGGGTCGCGGGGTGGGTATTTTCTCATTTATCTGCTCAGATACCTGGGGGTTCTGACCACGGGCAGAATGTCGGGAAGTTGGAAGTCCCGTCTGTGGTTGTGGCCGAGCGGCTGAGCAGAAAGCGTGGTCAGGAGGCTCACAGTAAAGGCACAGGGCCTGGAGGCGCTTGGCACAAAATACCGTCTCGGGCAAAGTGCAGATTTACTTCCCGACATGAAGGAGACGGAGGAGAAAAGTCTACGGTGGCCGAGAGGCACCGAGCAAAGAGCTTCTTGTAGTCGTCCTGCGTGACGTCGGGACAGAGGACGATCCCCCGTTGTGTGCTCTTCCGTCAAGTCCTTTAAGAAGGTGGACGAACCGTGTCCTTCCCACTTGCTGTGGGGCAAGAATCAGTGAGGTGTTGGGAAGGATGAAGTAGCCAGTCCTCAGGGGCACCCAGTGCCGAGGGTGGAAAGGACACGTCACCTCACCTGCGGGTCCAGCGACCATCAGAACAGGCAGCTGAGATCCTCAGCCGGCTCAGAGCCCCAACACCTCAGCACCTCATGTGCCCTGGACCTTGGTTTCCTTCACGGTAAGAGCGCCACCTTCTCGGGGTTGTTTTGAAGATGAAATGAGACAACACGTGTAGTGTGTTGTCTGGAAAGCACTGAAAGCGGTTATTATTATTATTACTACTGTTACTATTTATATGCCAGTCACTGTGTCAAGGGTTTAAGGTACACCAATCACCCAAACTTCCCCCGAGAGTTTCGAAATTCAGTGGGGTGGACGGACATGAACTAAATGAGTACAGTAATGCACAAGTCACTCTGGGTGTTCAGATGAGGAAATATTGGATTCCCTCCTGTGAGACCAAGAAAAGGCTCTGTTGCAGGCTGTTTAAAGAATAACGAGGTGAGAACAGCACACACAATAATTTAGGCATGTCATATATATAAATGAGCCAACTATGACCCTGAATCCTCAAAATCACTACTCCCTGCTGCAGTCAAAGCTGCATACACAGGAAAATTCATAGACTTAAATACTTTGTATATGAAATAAGGAGGATCTAATATAAAGAAACTGAACATCAAAATAAAAAGAAAACCAAACATAAAAAATAAGAAAAGAAAGATAAAAGAATTAAAAACCCCAAACAGGATAAAGAATTGATAGATAAAATTTAAGAGCTGGTTCTTTCAAATAAAACCAACAAAACTGACAGAATTGCCGAATAGACCTGTTTGAAAAAAGAGAAAAGAGGGGCACTTGGGTGCCTCAGTCAGTTAAGCAACTGACTCTTGATTCCGGCTCAGGTCATGATCTCATGGTTCATGACTTTGAGACTTGTGCTTGGGATGCGCGTGCTCTCTCTCTCTCTCTGCCCCTCCCCTGCTCTCTCACTCTCAAAAAAATCTTTTTAAAAAGAGAAAAAAGTCCAAGATAAGAAAAATTAAGAATGAAGGAAACAGCAAATTATTTTAAAAAATGGTATGCTAAAAAATACTAAATCCTTATGAAATGGATGATTTTAAAGGAATATACAAATTAAAACATCAATTTCAGAAATAGTAAAATTCTAAATCAACCAAAAGCATTACAATCCGAAAACATCATCAAAGTGTTATCTCCAAAACAGGTACCAAGTTCAAGTGGTTCAAGGGAGAATCATTTCAAATGGTAACAGGACTTACAAAGCTCCCATGCTAGACATGAGGCAACGTTAGCAACAGACAAAACATTCCACAGTATATTTACAAGCCCATACGATGTTGCTTCTCAAAATTGACAAGGATGGTGCAAATCCCAAGACTACTTCACTAGGGAAGGAAAGCCGAATCGTATGAAATCAAACATTTGCAAATCAACATCTCCGCACGGGAACCAAATATCACGCGCTCAGGAAAGGTGTAGTGCAGAAATGCAAGATGATTTTATGGTGGAAACCCGCTTTCTCCGCTTTATTAAAAAGTCAAGGAAGAAAAAAAATGTAATAAAGAATCTGCTCACGATGGACAGAAAAAGCCAAGAATAAAAATAGTGAGAGATGTGCGCAAGTTTTCTGAATCGGATCTCACTTCCTTGCTGTGAGTCAAAACAATGGGGGTGCCCCTGTCCCTGCACGGAGGACTCCATACTGAAACATTAAAAGTTCCCCCAAATTTTCCAATACAGTGTTTGCTATTTGAATTTAGGTCATGGGCGGGGGGTTGGCGAGAAAGAGAAAAGGAGAAAGTTGATAATGGTGTGAAAGTTCACGCGTCAATTTTTGTTTCCCCCCGGAGGGGCTCACCGCACATCAGGAGCCGAGGGGTTTTGCGGACGGAGCACGGAGTCCCTGGGCACCTGCAGGGGAGGGCAGGCGGAGCCCCGGAGCTGGGCGCACGGGCCGCGGCTGCGGCGCCCGCTGCCTGCTCCTCCGCCCAGACGAGCTGCTCTCTGCCCGCCCTGCCCCTCCCCTGCTGGCAGAGCCTCGGCCTCACCCCAGGCTGTGTATCTGCTCTCGGGCTCGTGGCCACGTCTGTGGTTACCGTCTACGGTGAAGGCTGTGGGGACGGGGTCTCGTGGTCCAGCTAAGCGACGCAGCTCCAGCCCGAGGGCAAAGAAAAGGGTTTCAAACCAGGAAATGATGCATCAGGTGAGATGCGGCAGAGGATGCGGAAGGGAAGAGAGGCTCGTGCGTCCAGCTGTCCGCACGCGGTGCCGTCTCCAGGCCCTCCAGGCCAGACGCGGGGCCGTGACTGAGGAGGTAGGGCTCTCAAAGGGGTTTAAGTTCCGCTCACTGGGTCCTTCGTCCTGGCTGTGGCCGCAGGCTTTGGATTCGTGGCTCTAAACTTTTCTCTTAAAGAATTTGGGAAAACTGTGTACGGTTCATACATTCTGAGTTTACATATGAAAGTTTCGATCGTGATGGGGCACCTGGGTGGCTCAATCGGTTGAACGTCCGACTTCGGCTCAGATCACGATCTCACAGGTTGTGAGTTCAAGCCCCGCATTGGGCTCTGTGCTGACAATGCAGAGCCTGCTTGGGATTCTCTCTCTCCCTCTCTCTCTGTTCCTCCCCTGCTTGTGTTCTCTCTCTTAAAGTAAATTAAAACAGTTAAAAAAAATAGCAGGGGCGCCGAGTGGCTCAGTCAGTTAAGTGTCCGACTTCAGCTCAGGCCATGATCTCACGGTTTGTGGGTTCGAGCCCCGCGTCGGGCTCTGTGCTGACAGCTCGGACCCTGGAGCTGCTTCGGATTCTGTGTCTCCCTCTCTCTCTGACCCTCCCCCATTTACGCTCTGTCTCCCTCTCTCTCAAAAATAAATAAACATAAAATAAAAGTGTTCATCATGTGTTAAAAGGCTGCAACATCTATCACTCTGGGACATTGTAAATGATAGATATAAAAAGAAACCGTTGCCTTACTCTTTAAATGTATTCATTCGAATGTAAATGTCATGAGGAATTGCACCTGCTAAAGTCCCTTTAGAAGATGCCTCACAAGCTCCACCCATCGGAGAGTCTGCATGCTTTCCTCTTCCTCCTCCACTCCGACCCATTGAGGTCCCTGCACCGAGGTTTACCTCAACGTGGTGTACCTTCCTGCTGGAAAGTCTTTGACGCATCACCCTGTTATATTCTTTCCCAAAATTCCCATCAAAAAACAAATGTATATATACTGCAGTTTTGAAGGTCATTTATTGCCCATGACTACAAAGCTCTAAAGATTAAAACTCTTTCTTCTGGATTAAAATATCATCGCATAAGGAGTACCCCTCCCGTGGTGAGCACTGAGTAACGGATACAAGTGTTGAATCACTCTGTTGCACACCGAAAAGTAACATCACGCTATGTTAACTACGCTGGAGCTAAAGTTAAAAACTTAACACAATTAAAAAAAAAATCATTGCAGTTCCTGTTAGTGACTGATCATCAAAATTAGGTGAATATGTTATAAATAATGATAATTGTTAAGCATAAAAAGCAAAATTTTATTACAAATTATGCTCAGACTTTGTCTATGCATTTAATAAAGGAACAGTATATGTTGCCAAAATTAATTGATCTGACAACAGGTGTAGTCTGTTATCTTTTTCTTAATACAAGAAAAAAGTTTTAACTATTTTCTGAAACTAGATGCAGATTAACTGAAGTCAGAATAAATAGGTTTTACCTATCTCATCTAGGAATAAACACCCCATTGGGAAAAAAAAAATCATATCAAACATTTATCCGTGGGTGATTCCAATATTGTATCAGTCAGCTCTTGCTGGGTGAGCTCACGTAACAAGCCAACTCCAATGCCCATGGCCTACAGGGATCTCACTCCTTGCTCATGTTCCACGTGGGCTGGGTCTCTGCTCTGTGTCTCCACGGTCCAGGACCCCAGCTGAAGGAGTCCCTTTCTGGGTCATCCCAGCCCTTGGCTGAGGCCCCAGGAACATGAGGGCTGGTGTGACCTTGTTTGGTTATAGCAACAGGTCAGGACCACTCACAGCCCATTGACCGAAGTGACTCACAGGGTCATGCCCAAAGTCATCGGTGCCTACCTGCCTGCCTGGGAGCAGAGGTGAGCAATCACAGTCAAGAATGTCATCTGCCACAGGGGCGCCGGGGGGCTCAGTCCATTGAGTGTCCGACTTCGGCTCAGGTCATGATTTCACTGTTCCCAAGTTTGAGCCCCGTGTCAGGCTCTGTGCTGACAGCTCCGAGTCTGGAGCTGCTTCGGATTCTCTGTCTCCCTCTCTCTCTCTGGCCCTCCCTTGTTCATGCTCTCTCTTTCTATCTCTCTCGCTCTCTCTCTCAAAAATAAAATAAACATTAAAAGAAAAGATGTCTTCTGCCACAAATATATCCTGAACAACTCAGTCATTGTGGTAAACACTCCAATTACATTTTAAAGAATCACCACGTCTCATCCGTATATAAACTATAAAACACTGTGATTAAGTTTAACAAAAAATGTACTAGACTATTGTGTTGAAAAGCACAAAATATTCAGAAATCAAACGAGTTCTACCTTTTGGAATATTATACCCTGTTCATAAATCAGAAGATTCAATAATATTGAGATGGTGATTCCCTTCAAACTGATCTATATTTTAATGCAACCTCAATAAAAATTCTAGCAGCTTCGTTTGAAGTCAAAATCACAAAGCTGAGTTTATATTTCTATAAAAAGGACAAAAACCTACAATAGGCAAAACAATTTTGGGGGAAAAAAGTAAAAAGAACAAACTTGGAGGGCTTATCCCACATGATTTCAGGGCTTTCTATAAAACTACAGAAATAAAACCGTAACACGTGCATAAGGTAACCCAGCAGACGCAGAGAACAGAAGAGAGAACCCAGAAAAAGCCCAAGCAGAAATGGTCACAATTTTTAACAGAGACGCCAAGATAATTCATTGGAAGAAAGGAGGGCCTTTTAGCAACGGGGCTGGAGAAATCGGATATCTATGTGCACAAAACGAGCCCTGCGCCTACCTCACACCACACACCAAGTGTCTCGTGGGCCAACCAGGCTTTGTGTTTTTGAGGATTTTCATCTCTGTCTTAACGGGAAGCAGGACAGGCGCTCCTGGGTTTCACCCCAGGCCCCGGGCGAGGAGACTGGAGGTCAGTGAGGTTAATGACCTTGTCCAAAGGGGGGGCAAATCGGGGGAGGAGCCCATTCAGTGTCCAGCTTCTCGCCTCCAGGGTCAGCAGGCTTTCTGGTGGCTCCTTTTGCTTTCTGGGTCCCTTGTAGTTCAAAGATGACCTTGGGGGGGTTCTGCTCAGGGGGCCAGTGTCCCAGGGCGTCAGTGAGAAGACTGCTAACACAGGTGTCTCAGGCACCGGAAGGCCGCGAAGCCTGGAGAGACGGAGGGTCCCTGCTGTCCTCTGCAGGCGGCACGGGGGCCGAGAGGAGGCAGGATGGGGGAGGGGCAGAAACTCGGCCGCGGGGGCCCCGGGGCCCTTGCCTCAGATCCCTCTGGTAGCTCCCCAGATGCAGCCTGGGAACTCCAGGAAAGAGAACCTCAGAGCCCAGGCTGGGGGCAGCACCCTCACCGCCGGGGAGCCCAGCGTCCCGGCACACGCCTGCAGTCCCTGGTGAGGCCTGGGCAGCTGGGGGGGGGCGCACTGTCCTCAGGCCCCCGTGGGGCTCCCGCGACCCGGTCACGGCAAACGTGCGAGGCCACGCGGTGTGGGTGCGTGTTTCTGGGCGGTGGTGCCTCTCGCAGGAGACGTTTGTCCAACCTAGGAGGAGACAGGAGAGGAGATAATGTTCCAGAAAGAGCGGAGCGCCTTCTCCCTGGTGGGAATTTAGCGTGCGGATTTTTCAGCTTGGTGGTTTGTTTTTTTTTAAAGGAAGATTCTTTTCATTGTGTTCTTTGAACCTGGCAGGCGGCTGGGGAAAAAAGAAACAAAGTTTGTACTAAAAGCAGGAATATCTTTTATGAGAGGAAGAGGGCCCGGAGCAGCGGCGGCTGGGATTTGTGCCGCGGGGGGGGGTCCGAGGACGGGAGACGAAGGAGAAGCCAGCGGCCGAGCTGGTGTGGAGGCTGGGGCGGCGGGGTGCGTGCGGGGGGCTGGGGGGGGACAGGGCTCCTGCACACGGAGCCCCCGGTGACAGGCTGTCCCACAGGCTGGTATCCTCGCCCTGGTGCCCGAGGGGTGAATGTACCCAGATGGGCACGGATCGGCAGCAGGGGTCACTCTGCCAGATGCAGCTACCATTCCCGTGGAGCCTTCTGGTTTTCAAAGCGCTTTTAGTAGTCACGTAGAGCTGGGAAGAAATGGCTTCACGTTAAACCTCACCTGGGCTGCCAGGCGGGGGCGCGGGGGGGAAGGGGGTAGGAGTGGGCCGGCCGTGGGAGGGACAGGGAGGTTTGTGGAGCGATTCAGGAAGGAGCCACTGAAGAACTGATGCTGAGTAATCTGGAAGGTTCTCTGGGGGGCAGTGCTGGCTTGCCTCAAGCCAGCAGACAGACAGGCTCCAGGGACCGTCCTTTCCTGGGCGGCTCTGCAGAGGGCACTTGCTGGGCGTGACCTGGGTGTTGGTGGCCAGGGACACAGAGTTAAACCTGCAGACACCTGAGATCTGGGGGCTCAGTTGGGTCAGCGTCTGACTTCGGCTCAGGTCATGATCTCACGGTTCACAAGTTCAAGCCCTGCATGAGGCTCTGTGATGTCAGTGCAGAGCCCGCTTCAGACCCTCTGTCCCCCTCTCTATACCCATCCCCCTCCTCAAAAATAAATAAACTTTCTAAAACCCTGCAGCATTTAGTTTGCAGTAAAGGGCCCCGTCTGAGAACTATCACAATCCCAGAGAAGGGTCGACTCCCCAGGTCAGTGCTGATAGAAGGCGATCGGCAGTCCACTGTGAGACAGTCTGGATTGATGGGCGTCCCCAGACGCAGGAGGTAAAGATAGCATCGTTGTTCTGTTTGTCCATTCCGTGTGTGTGCCCGGATGTCAGTGTCCCAGGGCTGCTGTGATGAGTGGCCGCTGGCCGCACGGCTCACAACGAGCCAAGTTCATTCTCTCAACGTTCCGGAAGTCAGAGGTCCAAAATCAAGGTGTTGACAGGGCCACACTCCCTCCAAAGGCTCTGAGGGGGGCACATTGGATATAGGGCCACCTATATTCAACGTGATCTCGTCTTAGGATCCTTACCTTAATCACATCTGCAAAGATCCTACTTCCAGATAAAGGCATAGCACTCTGGGTGAGTATGAATTTGGGGGGGACCCTATTATCCAACCCACTGCAGCAAGGGCCCTGTGTTTGCTCAGTATCTGTCTCACCTGTATTTGTACCAAGACGGGAGCAGTGGTAAGTAACCGATCTTTCCTGTGGGGCCACGTCCATGAGGGATGGACAGGAAGATACTTGGGGCAAAGTCATTATCAGTAACCGGTAATAATAAGCTGCTGGTTTAAGGGGGCCTGGTGAGGCTTTCTCCAGGGTTTTGCAGGGTTGAGGTCAGAATCGTCCCGTGGGACTAAGGAAGCAATGAATGCCAGGCTCAGGGAGGGCTGGGAGGGGTCTGCCTGGTGGCGCAGGGGGGCGAGCGAGGCAGGAAGGGGGTTTCCCTGCACTCGCCCCTGGAAAGGAGCTGGGAGTCTGCAACCTGCCGCCAGGTGAGGGGCGCACCCAGCTGTGCGGTGGGGGAGGGGGTCAGTCCCTGCAGCCAGCAGCCCTCACGCAAACACACAAAATATGCAAGGGCCTTTCTGTCCCCAGGAGACAAGCTCTGTGAGCTGCCCAGGCGGTGACGTCCGCGGACAGGTTTCTGGTGGGGCCTGTCCCCGTCCCGCCTGGGAGTCACATCACGCAGCGCCATGGAGCACTGAATGTGCTCCCACAACAGCTGCATAGGAAAGGTGGGCCAGGGGGTCATCAGCCCAGTGCTCCGACGAGAGTGCGGCTCAGCATCAGAACGGCCCGGCCAGGCATGGCGGGGCCAGAGTACGTGGGATCCGCCTCCTCTGGCTCTTGAGGTCTCTGAATCTCTGCCTGGAGCTGTTTCCACGCTGGCACACGTGCTCTCTGTCCCACGGACGCGGGGCGAAGAAGAGATGGTGGCTTGCGTGGGGCGCCCGCCTGCCTTGCCCAAGAGGCACCATGTTCTCGTAACCGCTAAGGCCCCCGTGGGACAGGCCACTCTGCACGTGTTTGCACCCACCGCGCTCTAACGTTCCAAGAGCCTGCTGTGCCCACTGCTGGGGGAGCCCGGGCCGTGACGGTCTCTTCCCACCGTCCCCGGCCCACAGGGACAGCCATCTCGGAGCCTCGGTGACACTGGGCCCTCCCCGGCACATGCACGTGCCTGCGGTAAACGCCACGTGGGCACGGCCTTCTTCTTCCAGCCTTTTGATGCCCTTCCTCTGTCCACCACAAACACCCACCTTCCCCCTCTCGTGTGGACCACGACTTCTCCAGGTTTCTGGAGGCCACAGTGCAGCCACGGCCGCTCCTGAGATCCCCTGCGCACACACCCCCTCCTCCAACCTCACCTCCCGCCCCCACATGCTGCTCCTGTGGGAACGTGCTGGCCCGGCTCAGGCCCCCCGCGGGGACACTGTGACACGGCCCTGTTCACTGCGCTGGTGGCAGGAGGGAGGCGGAAGGTTCTGGGAGCCATGTCTCCCTCGAGGAGAAGGCCGTGCGTCCTCCTCAGGCAGGGAGGATGTTGGTCGTCCTAGGGGACGACCTCCACGTCAGGGGACCAGCCTCCACGTTTTCCAGGGCATCCACGCGGCTGAACCCCCACACGTCTAGGGGTCCCGGCGCTTTGCTCCAATTAGGGGCCCCGACCTCGGCTGACACGGGGGACGGTCTAGTCTGGGCCAGTGGGACGGGGCCCGGGGCGTGTCCCGAGAAGGGCTCAGCCACAGCGGGCGCCTTGGCACAGGGAGCGGAGTGGGAGCCGAGAAGCTCCGCCTCTGCCCGCTGACGCACAGCCTCATAAAGTCTAAACTCAGACAACCGCCAGAGTGGAACCTGACGTTTGGGGGGAGTGAGGCAGCCCGGGAACAGGGGACCCCGGGAGGGCCACGCGCGAGGACTCACCGACAGCGGCGGGCAGGAGGGCCACAGCCCCGTCACTTTCTCTGGTCACAAAGCGGCAAAAAAAAATATGCGTCAGTGACAAAGACGTGACCTCAGCGCCCGGCGGCTTGCGACAGAAGACACTCCCCCTGGGAGCAGGTGGGTGGAGGGTGCGACGCAGACTTCAGCACACACGTCTGAGGTCAGGAAACGGGGCGGAAACTGCACAGGAAGCTGGAGGGACCGCGGCTGAGGCGGCGCCCGGGGGCATGTTCAGGGTTTGAAGTGCCTCCTTCACGGGAAGGAAGAGGAGCAAACTGGGTCCCCCGTCTCCGATCTCAGGGAGGCCCGAGGAAACTGGAAGGAAAATATTGAAAGTGGGAGCAGGTGGCCTCGGTAGGTCACATGAACAGCAGAAATAAATGCATTTAAATATGAAAAGAGTTGAAGTCAGTCACCAAAGCCAAGAGCCCATCCAAACAAGTTAGAGGGATACTTGGAATTCACCCAGAGTGTCTCCCAGCCTCGGCACTACTGACGCTCTGAACCGGATCGTTATTTGTGGTGGAGGCTGTCCTCTGTGTGGTGTGGGTGTGTGGTTGCATTACTGGTGACACCCATCCCCAGACATGATCACCAAACTTGTCCCCGGATATCGGGGCGCCTGGGGGCTCAGTCAGTTAAGCGTCCGACTTCAGCTCAGGTCGTGATCTCATAGCTTGTGAGTTCAAGCCCCATGTCAGGCTCTGTGCTGACAGCTCAGAGCCTGGAGCTGCTGATTCAGATTCTGTCTCCTCCTTCTGCCCCTCCGCCATTTGCACTCTGTCTCTCTCTCTCTCTTTCTTAAATATAAATGAACATTAAAAAAAAGATTAAAAAAGGGGCGCCTGGGTGGCTTAGTCGGTTAAGCGTCCGACTTTCGCTTAGGTCATGATCTCGCGGTTCGTGGGTTCGAGCCCCGTGTCGGGCTCTGTGCTGACTGCCAGCTCAGAGCCTGGAACCTGTTTCAGAGTCTGTGTCTCCCTCTCTCTCTGACCCTCCCCTGCTCACGCTGTCTCTCTCTCTCTCTCTCCCCTAGAAATAAATTAAAAAAAAAAAAAGATTAAAAAAAAAAAACCTATCCGCATATATCACCAGACACGCCTGGGGAGAAAGGGCCCCTGGCTGAGGGCCAACATTCTGGAATAATCAGATCTGAAGTCTGCAGTCTCTTGCATCTGGTGGGTTCCTGATTGACCTTGGCCTTTTAAGGAGCAAATAGTTTCTATGGTACGTTATTCTGAAAATTCTTCGAGAATATCATGTGATAAGAGAAACTGAATGAGTTTAAGGCACAAGATTTTTATCCGAGGACACGGAGAGACAAAGGCCAGCTGGTAAAACGTGCTTCATTTCCAAGCGGGAAAGGACCCAAAGCTTTGGGATACGGAAGCCAGGAAGGATGGTGCCTGGATGAGGAATGACGACAGAGGTTCTGATAACACAACATCTTCTAACTGGTTACACCTGGAGGGAAAGACTGTAAAAATGTCACCCAGCTGAGACCACATTGAGTGGCCCCGAGGCCCCAGCATTACCGTGAGTAGTGCCAAGTTCCTGCACTCGCCCCGCTCTGCAGGACCCAGGACTGTTTCTGGAAAGAACCTGTCTGTTCCAGGCGCCCGCAGGGTCGGTCTACCACAGCTGTTGTCTTCTGCTCTGACTCCTTCGGGGGAGGGGCCTCCTTCTCCGGGGCTGGGAGGGCTTCCCAGTCCATCTCTGATGCACGGAGCAGAGCTTCACCACCTGTGTCCAAGGGGCTCTAAATTCCGCCTCCTCCAGGAAGCCATCCCCAGAGCCCAGCTGTGTTGGGCAGAAGTGGGGACAGAGCGCTCCCTGCCTAGTTAAAGTGGCTATGAGCTCTAGGGACCTGGGATTCCCGGCCCGTAGAAGTCCCTCAGAGGACAAGGGAGCGGAGCTGGTGGCAGGCAGGGGACGCCCCCGGCCCCTTCCCGGGTCCTCCCCATCCGCGGGGCCCTGTCACAGCACTGCGAGCGGGCAGACATCAGACTCTCCGGCCTGTTCCGGACCCAATGTCACGGAGTCAGCCTCCCTTTAAAAGAAAGTTCGTTTGTCTGTTTGTTTTAACCAGCCCTGCTCTGCAGGAAGCAGCTCAGCAGCTCTTACTCGGGGCATCAGATGGGTGGAGACCGTGACGTCGGTCCGGGTCGCGTCCCGGTGCGGTCGTTAGTACCCTTCACTCTCAAGCATGTCTTTCTTCGTTCAACCCTCTCTGCACCCCCCTCCCACTCGTGGACACGCACGTGCCTCACAGCTGCCCAAACCCTTTCAAGACATCTGGCAAACTTGGTCCTTTCAAGCACCAAGTCATGCAGGCGGGTTAGGGACATTGGGGTAGGAATCCAAAGGTCCCATGGAGTCAGTCTTTCTAAAGAGAGCACGTAGAAGGGTCAGGTGGGGGGTGGCCAGGCAGGGATGTCCCCGAGAGGGACGGGGCTGAGCACAGCGGGGTGAAAGCCGGGTATGCTGGGCACGCGCGTGGGAGGGGCCGGCCGGGGCTGGAGGCTGGGGCGCAGGGGTCAGATGCACGGGGCCCGCAGTGCCCGAAACCTCGGAGCCATGGGGAGCCCCAGTCCCCACTCTCTGGTCGCAGGCCACCAACTTCCAACAACTTCGTGGTTTCCCACGAAGCCACAGATTAGCTTCCAAGAACGCTGGGGACTAGGGTAGAGCGGCCGGCGGGAGGCACGGCCCCCAGGCTGAGACACAGGACGGCTTCCGGACGGGGTCTGGGGGCTACTGAGGAGCCTCGTGGGGCAGGAGCCAGAGTGGCCTATGCCTGAGGGGCGGCTGCCACCGCGTGTGTCCTGAAGAAATGGGGCTCATTCGTAAGTGAAACCACCACAGGAGGGAAACCAAGGCAGACGAGTCAGGTCCACGGTGCCACGGGAGTTGGCCACGGCCACTGGCAGTTTGCTTGGTTTTGGGTCGGCAGCTGAGACAGAAGGTAGGGAAGCGGTCGGTCAATAACCCTGTCCTGGTTGTTGGGGGCTGCGGGGTACGGGCGATGTTTGGCTTCCTGCGCCGTTAGCACAGCCGGCGGTGTGACGTCCTGCACTCCTGGCGACAGCAGCCTGGGCCCCGGGACTGCTTCCCGCAGGGCCTGCGCTGCTGCTCGTGCATGTGGTCTGACCACTGCCCGTTTGTGTTTCAGTCTCTCAAGCGAAATGGGGGGTATTTTGGCCATGATGGTCTTCACACCCGCACGGAGCACCCCGTGTCCCGGCACCTGCTGGGCTGGGCTGGCTCGAGGCCAGCAGGGGGCAGGGCTAGCTCGGCGGTGGGCGGAAAGCCTGTCCCGGACGCCACGTGGCCACGCATCGGGGCAGGGCGGGCCCACGGGGACCGTGCCGAAAGAGGCGTGCGCCCGGGTGCTCCTGGGCCCGGGTTCCGTGAGAACCGTTTTATCGAGCCAGATGGTAAGCAGGGGATTGAGAAATTGCCACGGTTGGGGAAACAATGAAAACTCCTTCCAGAAGAGAACACTGAAGGGGAGAGTGCCAGATTGAGGGAGGAAGGCGAGTCCGGAGCTTGTGGGAAATTGCAAACTAATTTAAAACGATGTGAGAGGTGGGGAGGCTCGGACGGTCCCAGCGCCAGCGCCGGGGGGGTCTGGCCGGATGGTGGTTCTGACCGTGTTTCAAGTGTAAGATACACTGTGATTAATTTCTCTCGACTTCACCAGAGTTACACCAGCAACTCCCAGATCACTAATTAAGGCGAAGAGGCGGACAGTGACTCACGCTGGAAAGAGCCCAGCTGCAGAGCCCTCCCAGCCCTCGGGAAGCATCCGCGTCCTCATGCGATGGGAATCGCCTTGATCAAGGCAGCTTTGGCACGAGGTCAGCTCGATGGTGGAGACGGAGCTCTGATTAATGGGCGTGTGTGTGAGAGAGTGCAGTGCGTGCACGCATGCGTGCGCACACACGTGCGCGGGCTCTGGGTGTGTGTCCCTGGGAACCGCTGGCGGGAACGTCGGGCAGGCGCTCCCTCGTGGGGTCACCCTGCGGGAGGCTGATGGGCTCATCGGGCGCCGTGGGGCTTAGGTTCCCGGGAAAACAGCGGAAGCCGGTGCCGAGGGAGATGAGGGGCCCCCCAGCGCAGCCCCCGCCGCGGCATCACCTCCTCCAGCTGGACGCGGCCACACGAGGTCCTGCTGGCTGACCAAACTCTCCCTCGAAGGCGCGAGTGGTGGCGGACAGCGGCTCTCGCCCCCGGAGCGCGGTGGGGAAGGTGGACGGGGAAGTACCCGTATCCCGGCACAGAGATGGGGTGTGTAAGAGAACAGGAGGCCCCCAAGCGTGTATTTTCTCCCCAGGGGCTCCAGGCTGTGCCATGACGGGGACGCTGTGGCTGCAGAGCTGAGGGCCACCCGGCTGGGCCACCAAGCGCCCACGGGCTGGGCATCACCCACGTTCCTTGTTCTCAGTGCAGAGCGGGAGGAGACGCATCGCGTGGGGCCGTGAAGCACATCCGTGTGTGGACCGCCTGGCTGAGCTCGGCGCAGGCAATCCGTGGGTGTGCACGGCACTCACGGCCCTCTGTGTGGGTTATAACACGCGTTCTGCTTGCACGAGGCAATTTGTCTCCACCCTGGATCCGTGTGGGACGCTTTGCCTGCAGATAAAACCAGCTCGCTGTTCAAGGTAATATTCGTCTCCAAACCTGGGAAGGACCGAAGATGGCGGCTGCCTCTTTCACAGCTGCAGGGTGGGTGCGTGTTAACAACGGATGCGGGGGAGCCCGGGGTCAAGGGCAAGAACTCTGAGTCTCTCTTGTGCCTGCCCTACAACCCCGGGCTGGTAACTAGCTGTGTGGGAGGCTTCAGCTCCTCTGCCAGAGGACAGCGAGCGAGAGCACCTGGCCGGGGCCCCAGGAGCCGCGGCGGGAAACGGACGGGGCAGGCACAGCCCAGAGCATTGAGCCCGCATTCTGGGATGCAGGGGTGCGGACGGCTGGGGCGGCAGCGCACACGGCGAGAGAAGCCCCAGGGGCGCGTGGACCAGATACGGGAACTTTTCCAGCTGGTAACAGGCGGAATAAGGGGAGCACAGCTGCTGGGGCTCCCGGGGGGCTCAGTCAGCTAAGCGTCCGGCCCTTGCTTTCAGCTCAGGTCATGATCTCACGGCCGTGGGATCGAGCCCCGTGTTGGGCTCCTCGCTGAGCGTGGAGCCTGCTTGGGACTCTCTCTCTGCCCCTGCCCTGCTCATGTTCTCTCTCTCAAAGTAAAAATCCATTTAAAATATATTTTAAAAATCACTAGTACAGTTACAAAGACATCTTAAATTCTTAACCCGTAGAGAAGTTGTGATAGTAGATTTTATGTGTCAACTTGACCGGATTAAAGGATGCATGATTAGCTGGCAAAAAGCCAGGGTTTCTGGATGAGTCTAGAGTGCACCCCGAGATCAGCGCTGGAATCAGCAGACGGAGTGAAGACGGCCGTCACCAATGCAGGCCGACACCATCCCATCCGTTTAGGCCCAAATAAAACCAAGAGGCCGAGGAAGGGTGAGTTCACTGTCTCTGCCGGCCCCTCCCGCTCTCGGACACGGAAGCTTCTGGGTCTCCTGCCTAGAGCTGCACCGAGTGACACTCCCGGCTTTCCTGGGCCTCGAGCTTGTGGACAGCGGGTCATGGGGCTGCTCAGCCTTCATAGTCACTAAGCCAGTTCCCGTAACTGTCTGTACGCGTCCTTCTGGTTGCTTCTCTGGAGGGCCTCATGCAGAAACACCATGGCAAGTAAAGCCTTTAGAGAGGGAAGGCGGCGGGACGGCCGGTCCGGGAACGCGGGCACCTGGTGAGTTGCCGGGACGAGGACCAGGACGGAGAACTCGCAGGAAGCACTCCTCAGGTGACGCCTGTGGGCCCTGGGTCGGGACGGGGACTTCGGGGTGCGGGGTCACGGCCTGTGCCGCGTGCTCCTGCAGGGCTTGCTGTGCGCCCCTGTGCATGTGCGCTTTGAACTCAGCTAGTGTTTTGCTGGTGCAAAACTGCAGTGTGCAGGGAGACACCAGCGAGGGGCCGGCGGGGCGTGGCAGCGGGCGGACGTTGTTTCCGCGTTTGCAGCCGCAGGAGCTGAGGGCGCGCCCGCACTGGGGTGCAGGCAGGGCGGACGCACCCCTGGGCCCGCGGCCGGCGCTCGGCTGGCAGAGCCCCTGCCTTGGACTGGTGGTGGCGGCCAGACATGCGTGCCCGCCGACCCGACCCTCCCGGCAGCTCCTGTGCGCCAGCCACGCGGCGTGCCAGGGCCTGGGGGGCCGGCCGGGAGCACGGCAGACGACGGCCAGCCCCTCGCCGAGCTTCAGCTGCACTCGGGGCACAGCCGGGCAGGGCAGAGGAGCAAACTGCAGCTCGGCCCCGTCCCGCGCCTCACGAAGGAACGTGAGAAAGAAACAGCGCGGTGATGTCACCAGCACGGGCCCTGATGCAGACACCGCTGTGACATCACCAAGCGTAAATACCTAAACTGTGCTTCTCCTGATTAATTATAATTAATATAATCCATCACATCAACAGGCTAAAGAAGAAAAACCACATGATCACATTAATAGACAAAAAGCATTTGGCAAAACCTATCACCAAGTTATAAAAACGCTCAATAAACTAAGAACAGAGGGGAGCTTCCTCAACTTGATTTAAAAAAAAAACTGGGGTGCCTGGGTGGCCAACTTCAGTTCAGGTCATGACCTCGCATCGGTTTGTGGGTTCGAGCCTGACATTGGGCTCTGTGCTGATGGCTCAGAGCCTGGAGCTGCTTCGGATTCTGTGTCTCCCTCCCTCTCCCCCTCCCCCGCTTGTGCTCTGTCTCTCTGTCTCTCAAAATAAATAAAAGATGTTGGAGGCTTTTAAACTCATGAGGTCTTTCATGTCTCACTCAGAAAGGGGGTCACAGACTGTGGCAGTGACCAGCTGAAGGCCGTCCCCTTCTCTGAGGGGCGGCTGTGACACACACAAGGCACTCACGCTTGCCTGGGTCAGCCCCCCTCCAGCCTGCTGAGGGCTCCGTGCCCCCACCCCTCCCGCCTCCCCACTGGAGCTGCCCTCGTGTAGCCCCAGCCCCCGCCCGGGTGAGATCAGTCTCCACGCGCCCCTGCTCCCCAGAGGACTGTGCTCGGCCCACCTCACCATTTCGACGAGGCCACCCAGGCCACGGCCGTGGTGGCTCAGAGGCTGGCCGTGCCGGGTCCACCATCCGCCCGCCCCAGCCGGCCGGGGAGGGGGACGGGGTGGCTGTGCAGGGACGACGCTGTTTATGCAGAAGAGCCGTGGGCAGGAAGATGTCTCAACCCAGAAGACATAAAAACGAAGGCAGGGAGAGCTTCCTTTTGTTTCTTATGAACTCTTACAAGTCCCCAGATGTGCTGCCGGAGGACCTGGGGCCCCGGGGTCACTGGGCCATCATCCAGCAAGCAGCCCGTGCAGCTCTTTCCAAATTGATCGGCTTTGCAGTGTTGCGGGGGTTTTTTTGTTTTTAATCTGCGAATTGTTGGGTCGGTTCCAACATCATAAAGAGCCAGCTTTTGTTAATCTTGGCATCAAAATGACGTGTTTTCAAACTCTGAACCAAACCAAAGGGGTAACAAGTCAGAGAAGTAAGCCGAAAGGAGTAGCATATGGCTTTGTGGGGAGTCTGCAACAAAGAAAACAAACCACGATCGGGGGAAACCGTCAGCTGCGTGCTGAGTAAGTGTCTAACCCCACACCGTGGGAAGGTCGGGAGCTTTCGTCCCAGCCGAGCACGGGAAGATGTGGGGTTCACGACGGATGCATCAGCCGAGGTTTGGGCTCGGCCAAGCTCACCTCGTCTGGGACCATGGGGTTCCCACCCTCCCGACTGGGCTGCTGTGGGGCAGTGTCATCCGCGCACGGATCAAGAGGAGCGTGAGAACAGCTTTCGAGGACCTTGACCCCGAGAGGATGTTTATTTGGAGTGTGTCCATCAGAAACGGAAGGCCGGCCCACCTGTCAGTCTGGGACCCAGAGCCTGACGACTCAGGCAGGGACATCTGCATCCAGGAGCACAGCCTGGACTCAGCTTCCAACACTCACCTGACATTTCTTCCAGCGTCTGGGGACTGAAAAGGGGGCACACAGGCTGCGTGTGTCTTCTTCGATTCCGTCCTCACAGACGGGGACACAGAGGACACACGGGTCATTCCTTGGGGTTGCTTTTTGTGCTGTGTTGTGTCAACTCAGAAAGCTGTCTCTGTTCTTCCGACAGTGGGGACAGGGGCACAGGTGGGTCTTCCCGGCCCGGGCGGCTGTGAAGGTGGCCTTCGTGCTCACCTGCACTCACAGAACGTTACACTTAGAGGTTTCTGTTTCCTCAATGTCATCGTAAAGGTTACTGCTTGGATGTGGATTATTATGATGCAATACATCAAAAACAGTTTCCCTCTCCTCTCGTAAAGTTCTGCGCGCATGGCAACTATTAGCAAACAATGACCTGATTCCTGTTTCGGTGGATGTCTTGAACACGTTGTCTCTTAGGGCTTTTGACATCACGAACGGGCAGGAAATCCAGTTTAAATGGATGTAAACGACTAGGACAGTGTACTTTGGGGAGAGTTCAGGAAGCTTCAGGAGAAGTTTGATCCAGCAGCTCTCTGATGCAGAGGGACAGAGCACCCTGAGGCCCCCGGCTCCTCCACAGGCTGACGGTGCCCTGCTGTGAAGGAAGGGAGTCACCCTGGGCTGGACTCCTGAGGTTCACTGAGTCACCTCTGCGTGTTTTTTTCAAGTGTCTCAGGGCCCCCGGGTGCAGGGCTGAGTGGGGCCGTGCACTGGAAGGCGCCTGTCTGGGAAGCCACTTGAAGGGCTCCCTGGGAAGCCTGGGGCTCGCAAGACCGCGGGGTGGGTGGCTCTGAAGGGGCACATGCGTGTCCGAGCCGTTCCCCTCGGGGCCTGGAGAATTCCCAGAGCAGGGCAGCTCCAGGCCAGCCCCGCGGGCCTGCTGACCCCTCCGCGAGACGCCGGCCTCCCCCTGTCAGCTCAGCCGCCCCCGGCCCTCTGAGCTCCTCAGGCCAGACAACAGATGGCGGAGGACCGTCTCCCCTCCTCTCGGCCGAGCTCTGTGCCCTCCCCTCCTCGTACCTGTCTGTCCTCCTCCCACGCCTCCCCTGCGCGCCCCACACAGCCCAGCCTGGGGCTCCCAGCCCCCCCCCACTGGCCGCACAGGACCTTCCTGCAGCACCATCCCTCCTGGGGTCAGGCCGCCCACCCTCTGCCCTCCACATGGCGGTCGCGGGTGGGCTTGCCAGGGTCACAGACTCCCCTTCCCTTTACCCTGCCCTGCAGTGCAGTGGCCGCGCCTCGCGTCTATCTTATGCTCACTCTCACTGCCTCAGCGACCTCCTTTGAGCACAGCCCCGTTCTCCTTGCTCGAGTAGACATTCATCTGGGCTGAGGGCTTTGTGCCCCTGGAGCCTCAGCCCTGCCTGCTCCCGGGAGCGAAGCTGCCCTTGGGGAGGCTTGCTGGGCTGCTCCCCTGAATACGGGGGTGCCAGGAAGACGGGGGGAGGAGGGAGGGCCGTGGGAGCCGCTGGGGGTCTGGGAAGTAGAGGGGTCTCTCCTGGCCCTTCCCGTCCTCGCCTGAAACTGCTCCCCACTTTGAGGGCCGAGGACGCTCGGCTTAGCGAAGCTTCTGCTAACAGCGCGCTCATGGTTTTAAAACAGAAACCAAAGACCGTTTGGGGGCTGGGGTGCGCAGAGAGGGCCCTGTGCCGGGACGTCTGTGCTGCCTGGGTGGGCAGGCCTGTGAGGGAGGCGGCGGGGCTGGCGGCTCTGGTTTAGCCCTAAAACCGACCACAGGGAGCACCCAGCATGTGTCATCCGCTCCAGGCCACCAGAGACCACGTGGTGCGCTGGGGCATGCAGGCGGGTGTCCCCTTCTTCGTGCAGCCCGCGGGCGCAGATGGCCCTACTATGCGCCGACCCTATTAGGAGTCAAGCCATGACTACGCTACGGGAAAATGCAAACACACAGATTATCTTACTG